TTTCACCAATATTCTTAGAACTCTTCCCTCTACAACATATCAGAAAATGAACAAGATCTGACGACCTCGATTGAACAGCTCCTCAGTGATTCGGTCGTGGCTTACACGGACTGGCTCATATGAGGATTATTGGTATTCAGATGTAACTTGCAAAGTTCAGACTGGAGAAACTTATCCATGTGAAGAAATTTATTTTGAAAAAAATACACAAATTCCTCTTCGATTAACTAGAGTTGTTCGTCAAGGATGGAATATTGTCAAAGCAACATACCCTTATACAATAATATCCATGGGAAAACCAGATGATAAATACTTCAATTCAATTCCAAAAAATTGGTCATTCATATGCCAAGATACTATGCTTGGACTTTTGCATTATCCACAAACACCAAAAATAGATTTAAATGAAAGTGCAGCAGTTGAAATTTGGCTTACAACTCCACCACATCGAATAAATGGAAATGATACTGTTATTATTCAATGGAAACTAAGGGAATGTACTGATTGTTTTACATGGACACCGAAACAACTTTCTTTTAACATTGAAAATTTCCATGAACGACAAATATTAAAAATAACCCGTGTAAAAGATGGATCACAAACAAGTCTTATTCCAGTTTTTAATGGTGGAGGTTTCGATAATGTTCTACCAGAAGTTTATTCAATTATTATTCAATAAATTTCTTTCTTTTCATTGTGAATTAATCGAAACAAAATTTTATTGAAAGGGCAGTTTAATTCATGTAGACCTTGACAGAATTCAATAGCTACAATCGCTTGAAGAATGTGCAAGTTTTTTAGTCATCACATATAAATAATCGAGAAAGATATTTTGAATCTGAATTAAATGTCAAGTGGGTCGAACTATCCAGTATATTATGCATAAAGGTGTAAGTCGATGTATTGATCAGCGGCGGCTGACATTTTTTCGTGATGTTGTCAAAAATTTTCTTAGTTTCGAGAACTTTTGATATGGAAAAGAGAAAAACTGGTAGAAGAGAGCAGAATGTAAATTTTTTTCTTCATGTGCTCGACAGGCCCATAATACCTCAAGATGCATCTATATCACATCACTTTTTTTGCTCCAGAAGTTCCAAAAAATTCATGCACAGGAGAGAATAAATTCGACAAGGAAACATTCTAGCAAGAAGATGCATGAAAACTGATTTTGAGTGTTCAAAATTATCAAAAATCTAGTATTTCTTTCTATGTTGCGGCTAAAATTTTAGTAATTATTTACGGCAACGCTGGGGGTGTCTTAGGTCAATCGGCTTACATTTCTAAGTATAATGATCTTCTTGAACAACTTTGCATGCTTTTCAAGTATAGATAAGCTTTTATATTTCTTTTTAAACAAACTATATGATTTATTTTCATCATTATGATTTCTTTATGGATTATTCAAAAATTTGAAAGTTGATATTAGAGCTTCTATTTACATTTTTATGGTTTTCCATTTAATATACATATTAAATCGAGAACAAGAGAAAATTGTAAGTTTTGGTGTTTATGTGACTTCCATTTATTGTGATATCTCGATCATGATGACAAAGTAAAGAAGAACAACAATGGAAGATACAACGAAGAGCAGTAAAGGAATACGAAAAGAAACGTACTATCTGACAACAAGTGATAGAATAAACACGACTATATATATATAAGAACAGACTGGAAAAATTCCCTATACGAACCAAGATAACAGTGGGAAAATACCTATATTAACACCTTTTCCTTTAAGATTGCTATGGAAACGTGTAACAATCAGGTGATTTTCGCTTTCGAAATGAATATTTCAGAGAGTGTGGGTGTGTGTGTGGGTGTGGATAAGCGGGAACTCCAGAATCGTATCTACACGTCTACCTCCACCTCCACACCCACACCCGATAGTACAACTCTTGTATCACTTATGTATTAGTAAGGAAAATATTTGTTTCTCAGTAAACTGTTCTTACCGTAGCAATAATAGATCATTTCGGGTACCATCATCTATCATATAGATGATCCTGAAGTTTTCTATTTTCTTTCTGCTTCATACATTGACAGCATAATTATTCTCTGACCTTGAGACATCGTCATAAGGCTTTTCCCAAATACAATAAATTGACGAAGGAATCATTTTCGAATTAAAAATTAAACGCCTGTATATAATATTGGTAGGCTCCAACAATATTTTATTTTCAAACAACGAGCAAATGAACATAAATAGAACATTTTCTTCAATCAACCGACACACACGGAATTGATGCTCGAGTTCAAGGAAAACATGTTATTTAGTCAATTGATCATCTATCATGGATGAAGTCTAGGTATTGTCGACATAGGATAGAGAATATTACTGTGTTCCCATGTGTTACATTACGATGAAACTGCGGCGCAGTTACGGCGTAACTGCGATCGCACTGTGACCCGTAATTGCGGAAAATTGCGACGTAGTTACGGGTGTGGGTGTGGGGTGTGGATGTGTGGGTGTGGGTGTGGATGTGTGGGTGTGGGGTGTGGGTGTGGATGTGTGGGTGTGGGTGGGGTGTGGGGTGTGGGTGTGGGTGTGGGGTCTGGGTGTGGGTGTGGGTGTCGGTGTGTGTGAGCGGTTGTGGATGTGGGCACAGTTGAAGCTAACAATTACAACCACACTCACACTCACCCCCACCCACCCACGCCCACCGCCACCCACACCCACCCACACCCACACCCACACCCTCAATTATTTTCCGAAGCATTACTTGATTGTGATAGAATAGTTTCATTATCATGCTTCTGGTGGTCTGTTTATTGAATGCGTATGACTTTGCATGGATATCGAGCTTTTGTACATGGTAGTGGCTGTGTTTGTTCAACAGTATTACTTTTTTTTTGTTGCTTCATCTGTTATTTGTGAGTGGATTTGTGTTATTAAAAATTTGGAATGTTCATGAATGATTTTTTAGTTTCAATTATGGTGAAATGTTGAATTATAATAGTTTTGTGATATTTCTGGGAGAAATTATAAAGTGATCGGTGAATGTGGTGTTATTTGAGTTGATTCATATCTTTATATATCGTATGTGGCACGTATGGTATTCTGTTTCGCTCATGAAGAAATAAAATAATTCAATAAATTTGTAAATGACACTATTCCTTGTTTTTTTTATCACCTTTTGAGTTTCTATGTAGTACAATTGAAATAGGTGTTCTGGTAATTTTTGTATTGCTACTGAGGATTAGCACTAAATCTGCTTGCAACTACCATCAAATGGTGATTTTGATTAAGAAACGCTACAGTTTTCATTTTGTGCGTTTTTTGAAGAAACAAACAAAGCTCATAGACGCGACTATATGGCAGAGGCTAATCTATATGTTTCTCTCTGTTCTTTTGCAAAGTTTAATCAAACGTATAGGCCGTCTAAAGAAAGCATTTATATCGAATTGTCAGTTGGCTGTGGGTTTAGTGTAACAATGAAATATTCATACCCATACCTACTTACATAAACAGAGATTGATTTCCAGCGGCTACATTAGAAAAAGATTTTGATTTTTTTAATTCTTGAAACCTTTTCAGACTTTGTAGAAAGAACAGCGAAACACATGAAAAAGTGTCCTCGATCAATGACAATTATTTTGAAGTACACGAAGTTTTTACAAAAATCTTTTGAAGAGTTCCATATTCGCTTCAAAAAACAAATCATACTAATTTTTTTTCTGTTGCAACCTCAGAAAGATTTTGTAAACACTTCAGTTGCTGAAAAAGAATTGTCATTGATTTAGAACACTTTTTCAAGTGTTTTGTAGCGCTCTCTATAGAATATAAAAGAGTTTCGAGAACTGAAATAAAATGGCAACATTTTTAATTCAATAGCTTCTCATTTTTTTTCAGTGTAAATGAAATGGTTTATCATTTTATATTTTATATGCTGATTATCATCATTTATGATTCATTGTAAATCATTGATATTGTCTGATTTAGCTTTTTTCCCATTAATTTTTTTTTTCGATTGTGTAATATTCATAACTAATATAGCAAATTAGTCATCATAAATGGTGACAACACTTTTGCAATAAACTATTGGCTGGTTGGCAAAATATGAAAGCCATACTCTGACAAAGAATAATTTTGTTCTTTAAGCGTGCGACCTCTAACAACTTGTGTTTGCTGGAACGTGAGTTAAAGGCATATCAACAATAATAAAAAAATGACGTCTGAAGTTTAACAAGTGTTTCACACATAACAACAATCTGTGTTTTATTGCTTTATATTTCTTTTGCTTCTTCACCTGACATTGACGTACACTCGTATTATTTAGTTTCTTTAAAAACATGGAATAAAAACCTTTCAGTAACAAACTAAAAATATCTGAAGACAAGACATCCATTGTAAGTATTAACAAAAGAACAAGAATCAAACTCTATCTGGAAATATACACGAATATCGGTACATTTCCTACCTTAAACAGGTATTTATTTATTCATTGTACGAATACGTACGTAAAGCTAGTATCATATTGAACGCTTTTTGTTATTGTCCGAATTCATTTTCTGAGGTTTTTTTTTGACTCCGTAGTCGTATTATGTTGGATGTAGGGTCTCGTTTTCCATACATTGATGGTCTTTTTAGTAGGACGCGCCAGTGCATACAAGAAATATGGTTGTACGGTTGTTAATGTAGCAGATGAAAAGATCCACATGAGTGAAAGTATGAATTTTGTGTCTGCAAACTTTTAACTTTCAAACCCATCTATTGCTCTTAAAGCCCCGTGGTATTCTTGAATACCAAAAGAACTGTCATCAAACAAAATTTTTATTTAAATAAAGAAATTTTCTGGTCAAATAGATTTTATTCATAATTGCAGTTTCATTACTCGCACTCATATTTTTCAACACCAAATATCATATGGGTTGCAATGCATCGGTTCAAACAATGAATTCTCTAGATGATCATAACAACGTGAAGCCAACTGTAATGCATTCATCACAGTTATCCATACCTTACAGAAAATCAAAGATTATTGAAAAACGGAATCGTTGCACTGATTCGAATGAAATTATTCAAAATTTCCTTCTGGTATGGCTTGATGCACAAATCGATGAGTCTACTAATGACTTTTATAATTCAATTAAACATTTGCGACAAACTGTTAATACTATTGAAATATTCGATGATGAAAATGAATGCATCAATTATATTACGCAAATAGAAAATGAAAAAGCATTCTTTATTATTTCTGGTGCTCTGTGTCAAAGTGTGGTACCACGTGTTCATCAACTCAATCAACTCTATTCAGTATATGTATTTTGTCGACAACCGTCGAAATACGAAGAATGGGCAAAAAATTGGCCCAAAGTGAAAAGTATTGTCACAGAAATCACTTCAATTTGTGACTCAGTTCGACAGTTGGCTCGACAATGTGACGAAGATTCAGTGAGAATTAGTGCTATAAAGTCATTGAATCAAATTGAACCATCGTTCATTTACACACAATTGTTTAAAGAAGTTATTCTTGAAATCAACTTTGATCAAAAGAAAGAAATTCAAGCTCTAGTACAGTATGTACGTAAAAAGTATGATGGTGACGATAATCAACTGAAAATTATTGATGAATTTGCAACAGAATATCGTGATGACGCCGATGGTAACAACAGGCCGATTTGGTGGTATACACGTGAGTGTTTCACGTACTCCATGTTGAATAAAGCTTTGGGCGTTTTACAAGTTGATACCCTACTGAAGATGGGAATCTTCATGCGTGATCTTCATCGAAATATCATCAAGCTGCATGACAAGCAAATGAATGAGGCATTCGATGATTCCCAACAAACATTGACAGTCTATCGAGGTAAAACAATGTCAAAAGAAGATTTTGAAAATAAAATCAAACAAGACGGACTGATGTCTTTCAATAACTTCTTATCAACAAGTGATAATCGAGCTGTTGCTCTTGATTTTATCTTAAAAGGTCTTAAATCTGCTGATCCGAAAAAAGTTGGTGTTCTATTCGAAATGACAATCGATCAAAAGACGTCATCAACTGCGTTTGCTCGCGTTGACGGAATTAGTTTCTTTCCGACAGAAAACGAAATTCTCTTTACGACGCATACAGTTTTTCGGATCCAACAAATAAAAGAGATTGAAGTAGACAAAATGAAGATAAATCAAGTGAAACTTACATTGACCAATGAAAATGACAGTCAACAGTTCAATGCTCTTAAGCAACATTTACGTGACGAGATCACTGGAACAGGATGGCAGCAAATGGCTTATTTGTGATGGAAACTAGGTGAAAACGAGAAAGCAGAACAAATGTACACATTATTGTTACTCGATGAGTCATCTAATGACAAAGATAAATCATACCTTTACAATCAACTCGGACTAATCAAGGATGGACAAGGCGATTACTCGAAAGCAATCGAATTTTACGAAAGAGCACTCGAGATACGACAAAAAACTATCTCTGAGAACTCGTCTGACTTAGCTCCTGCTTGGAATAACATTGGTATGGCGTATTCACGGATGGGCGAGTACTTGAAAGCTGTTGAATTTTACGAGAAATCACTCAATATCTATGAGAAAACTCTTCCAGAGAATCATCCTGATTTAGCTAGTCCCTATAATAATATTGCCTCACTATCTTATAAAATGGGCGAATATCAGAAGGCACTTGATTTTTACGAAAAATCAATGAATATTTATGAGAAAACTCTTCCTGAGAACCATCCTGATTTGGCTACTATCTATAACAATATCGGTTTAGTGAATTACGACATGGGTGAGTACAAAAAGGCACTCGAATTTCATGAAAAATCACTTGACATCAGAAAGGAAGCTCTTCCTGCAAATCATCCTGATGTGGCCACTTCCTACAACAATATTGGAATGGTGTATTCAAATATAGGGGAGGACACAAAGGCAATAGAATTTTACGAAAAATCGCTGAATAACAGACAGAAAATTCTTCCTGCAAACCATCCTGACTTAGCTAGTTCCTACAATAACATTGGTATGGTTTATTCAAACATGGGTGAGCATTCAAAAGCTCTTGAATTCTATAAAAAATCACTTGATATATCTGAAAAAATTCTTCCTCCGAATCATCCTTCCTTGGCTACGACTTGCAACAATATCGCTTCACTGTATTATAGAATGAATGAATACTTGAAAGCTATTGAATTTTATGAGAAATCACTTGGTATCTTCGAAAAAATTCTTTCTACAAATCATCCCGCATTGTCTACTTCCTACAATAATATAGGTGCAGTGTATTTTAGCAAGGGTGAACATCAAAAAGCGCTTGAATTTTATGAAAAATCACTTGATATCAGGCAAAAAACTCTCCCTGAGAATCATCCCATCTTCGGTACTTCTTATAACAACATAGCTGCGGTATATGATGACATGGGTCAATACTCAAAAGCACTCGAGTTTTACGAAAAATCACTTCATATCTCGGAAATAACACTTCCTCCAACGCATCCAGATATCGAACTAACGAAAAGAAACATTGAAGTTGTAAAAGAAAAAATGTGATTATTTCTTTTTTTGTTGTATTTAATAAACTCCGTCCAATTAGCATTGGTTTTTTTCATTTTGCTATGCATACTTTTCTCAAAATTATACAATCAATATAAATAAAGAGTGTTTAATAAGTACTGATCCTCTCCAACTAGGGTGTGAGTGTTGGTGAGGATATCAAAGAGAAACTACATCCACACATACAACCTTCGAAAATCGCATAAAGGATCTGACTTTCGCGGCGTCGAAAAACTGTTAAAGGTATTCAAGTTCTTTCAAGACAATGCAATCAACAAACAACTGTATCTGGTTATGATATTCAAAAAGGTTTTTATAAGTTCTTGTTTTTTACTCTAAAAATTGAATTTAATTAAATATAGGTGATATTATTCAACCAGATGTTTATTCATTGCATTATAATAAAGATTTATGGGATCCTGAAGATGCAAAAGAATTTATTCCTGAACGACATCCGATGGCTTTTATGCCATTTGGTCAAGGTTCAAGAAATTGTATTGGAATGCGTTTTGGTTTAATGAAAATAAAATTATGTTGGGCTCAATTTCTTAGTCCATATAAAATTAGCATCGGTGATAAAACAAAAAATAATTTTATTATTCGAGAAATTTTAGTTATTCAACCTGATGCTGTTTATATCAAACATGAAAAAAGCAAGTATTATTTTCTTCTGTTCTTCTGCTAAGAAAAAATCGTAAAATAGTTTGATTAAATAAAAAAAAAAGATAATTTGAATAAGAAAAAGAAGTTTTCTTTTATGATGAATGACAGAAGAACGTGTTTTGTATTTTTGATACGATTTAAATTACAGTTCGTTGAAAAAATTGATTGAATTAGAAATTATTTAATAATAAGTTTGCAGGAAATGAATAGTTTTTGAAATTTTACTAAATAATATATTTTTCTGAAGTGAAAATTTATGAAAAAAAATAAGAAAGAAAGGTCGAAGATGAAACTTTTAATTATTGCTTTGTTTTTCTTTATTTATTGAAAGAAAATATTAATTAGGGTGGGTGTAGTAAGAAAGACTCACACCCACGTCCATCAAAGGATTTTCAATAAGCGACAGCATTTATCCTATATCAAGTGAATTGGTTTTACTCATAGCAGAATTAATTGAAGCAGTTAAATTCAAGTATGTATGCCAAGCATACCTGCCAGTAAAATCTAAAGTTATCGATTGATCGAGATGATTAAAATAGAACATGAGATATATCCAACATTCCTAACAAATATATCGTTTGACAGAAGCAGATATTGTAGGATCTATATTGCCATCATATCGGTTTGCAACTTCTATACTCATCTGGTTATCGCTGATAGAAAATATTATGCAAAATAGATTATAGTTATTACAGTCACTAATTATGGTTTATGCATCATATCTAGCTATGAAAATTCAAGCGCTCAATGTAAAACTATTTGCATAACCTTGTCCAAAGTAGTCTGACTTGAAAAACTGAGCACTATTGATACTAGTCTTATTGTTTAAACACGTCACCCATTCACTTGCATCAGTACACTCGAACGTCTAGTAGATATCATCTCTGAAAATGAGTTTTCTCGGGTGACATACCATAAAAAAGTTCAAAACTGATGCAAAAATCGAACGAGATCATGTCAAAAAGAGGCTAATGTTTGAATTCATTGTTAAATTGTTTTCTATGCTATGCTTAGAGATCTGAGGATCATTTTCAAATAGTCACATACGAATTTTATACAAATTTTAATAACCATCTACTACAGTTATTATCAATTGAAAAGAAATTCCTTCACAATCTGAAAAGTGCTTATTTTCTAAACAATGTCTATTGATCATTCGAATCAATGTCCATATCTATGAATTTAACACATGTAAATGAGCTGAAAATTTAAGGATCAACCTATATTAGATGTTCAAATTGCCAAGAAAACGTTTTTCTGTAGATGCATTCATCGTAAATACAACACCGATTTACAAGTATAATTCTTTGAGAGTGGAATGTCTGCACACGAAAAAAAAAACGATAATTTACATTCGATTTTCTCTTAACAAAACTAAATAAGATTTTGAAACAACGCTTTATTCGAGTAAAACTAATTTAAAATATGACTTTAATGAATTATTTTTTTAAAATTGATGCGCATTGATTCTGATCCACAATTTTAATACGGTTATTTTTCACTACGACACAGTCCTTTTCAGAACCAAAAGTGGATGGTGGAAATCTTCTTAAACTGATTTCGAATCTTTTTTTTTCATTATAGTACATTAAAATTGTGCTTTCTGTCAAACAAAAAGAATCATTTTTTTTAGGAGAGTGAGCAGTAGGAAAAAGATATGAAAATAAAGAGATAACTGCTGCAAAAATCATATTTTTTTATAAATTTTATTTCAAACAGAAATAAAAAAGGATTCAAGCTTTCGTGTTACATTCAGTGACACATCGTCAGGAAACATTATGAAAAATATTGAGAAATAAATTACAGATGTAGAATGTTGCAGTTTTTAGAGCAATTGATGATAAAGAGGAAGAAGAACAACAAAAATAATAATTACAAAAAGAAAAGAGAAACAACCGCATGAATCCATAGTTCACGTCAGTGTTGCAGTTAGCTGTTGGGATTCTTTAATTAAATTATGATGTTGTGTATATATGCAAATATATGAGTAAGATTTAACTGATGACCATTAATTAATTTTGTAGTATATAAAAAAGAGAAAAAAAAAAAAAAAAAAAAATTTATATATATATATATTAATTAAATAAGAATGGTAAAATATCGATGAAAACTCTTCAATAGACATGCATAATGTGTATATAAATATCTGACTCAGCGTAAGTTGAAACGTGTGTTATAATATGTATAATTTTATGAGTGAGAATAAGACGATAAACATGATAAATATTAAGTGAATTAATAGTCAATTTATGAATATATAACGATGATATTATGATAGAAATCAGACAATTGAAGTTAATGTGGGTATTTATATCTGAGTAGCATAAATAATTAATAAAAATATATTATAATAAATGTATCCAGATTTTGTTAAGACTATGATGTTTAATTCTAATTAAATGCCCGTATGTCTACAGGTGTATGGATATAAGAACGCCAGTAAATATTGACTCGATAGTGAGATATACCTAAGTGGGTGTGG